GTAAAGATGGTGGTGATGGTGATCATGATGGTGTAATGGTGACAGTAATGATGATGGTGATGGTGTAATGGTGACAGTAAAGATGGTGGTGATGGTGATGGTGATTGTGATGGTGTAATGGTGACAGTAAAGATGATGGTGATGGTGATGGTGTAATGGTGACAGTAAAGATGGTGGTGATGGTGATGATGATTGTGATGGTGTAATGGTGACAGTAATGATGATGATGATGGTGATGGTGATGGTGTAATGGTGACAGTAAGGATGATGGTGATGGTGATGGTGTAATGGTGACAGTAATGATGATGGTGATGGTGAAAGTAATGATGATGGTGATGGTGATGGTGTAATGGTGACAGTAAAGATGGTGGTGATGGTGATGATGATTGTGATGGTGTAATGGTGACAATAATGATGATGGTGATGGTGATTGTGATGGTGTAATGGTGACAGTAAGGATGATGGTGATGGTGGTGGTGTAATGGTGACAGTAAAGATGGTGGTGATGGTGATGGTGATGGTGATGGTGTAATGGTGACAGTAATGATGGTGATGGTGGTGAGGTACAGATAATGATGCCACTGTGGGTCATGGTGATAGTGGTGATGGTAGTGCTGATGGGAGATGATGTGATGACAGTGGGGATGAGGGGTGGTGCTGGTGGGGATGACAGTGATGCTGCTGGTGGTGGTGGGGGGTGAGGGTGATGATGGTGATGACAGTGCTGGAGATGACAATGTTGATGGTTGTGATAGTCATGGTGGTGATACTTCATACGGTGGATTTCTGGGTATGGTGAACTCTTCTGAGATCTCTACAAAACAACTTGGGGGTACTGCTACAGTCTCTTTTGGGCAGAGGAGACAACTGAGGCACAGAAGGTATTTTGGGGGTCCAAATCTCCAGGCTTCACCCTTTCTACTACCTGGTGTGATCCCACAAGAGGTTCTGGAGACAATGGGTTACCCAGGCCCTAGAATACAGCCCCAGGGTACATGGGAGTGGGAATAAGGGAGGCCAAGTCGCATCACCGTGGAGCATCCAAGGAGCTGTTGGTCCTGGGTCTCTGCCTCACCCTCTGAACAGGCCCCAAACCTGCCCAGCCTAGTCTGGGCACAGGCACTTTCTGGGTAGGTGGTGAGGGGTTTAATCTGTACCTCCTCGGCATGATCTCCCAGGTCAATCTCCACGAATGCAGATGGTTTCTGTGGGTGGAAATCACAGAGCTGGGGTGAGCTGTGAAGAACGCGGATTTCCTGGGAGGGCTGCAGCTCTGGCCTTGGGCAGCCAGGCAGGCCAGGGCAGGTTCCACAGGGTTATCAGGTGCTGGTGATGCTCAGGGTGGGGGTCCTGCCAAGCTGGTTGGAGGGCTCATGGCAGTGTGGCCATGAGGTATCTGTGGGGCTGACTCTGGCAGGGAGCGAGAGGGAGGAATATGGCCTTCCCATCCACCCTACTCACTTCCCATCAGGTACCTGAGACTTCAGAGGGTCTCCCACACCTTCACCCACCAGGGCCTCTGGGCAGTGGCCATGGCCCGGGAGGTACCTCCCAGGCCTGTTCAGCTGGATTCTGCCTCCAGAGATTCACCTGGAGCCACACTGCACCCGGTGGCAAAGACTCACACTGGGGTGCAGTGGCCCTGCAGTTCAACTAATAGCTGCCTCAGAGTCTCCATCTGGGCACTTTGGCTGGCCCATAACCACACCAAGGGTGGTCTGTTGTAAAATCCTGGTAAGCAACATGTCCACCCTCTCCACAACTAGCACACGGTCTGGGAAGGAGACTGGAATCAACCTTCCTGCATCAAGTGTCTGTGAGAATCCCTAACACTGCATCTGGGCAGGCGGCTCTGGGCGTGTTCTCCTAGGCCAAGGTCGGCTGAATGTCACTCCTCTCAGGACCCAACTCCGTTAGTGCCTGCACTGTTTGGCAAGTGGGCGAGGATGCCCTGGGATAGCAGGGCCAAGCTTSGACCCTGGCCTCTCTGGATGGAGGGGAGGGCCAGGGGCAGCTCGACAGCATGGATTCTGCTGAGGTGAYCCCAGGACCACCCGTCTGCAGGGCGCTCATGGCCGGGCAGGCTGGCTCCTGTCACCAAAGGAAGCTCTTGCCTCTTTTTCCAGATCATTCAGCTTCGTGGAGTCCAGCTCTTGTTCCTGCAGCCAAAGAGACACCCACAGGTTGATATCAGCAGACCCCATCAAGATGACGGAGGGTCCCGGGCACCAAGTGGGGCTCACCTCAGCCTCCAGGACGCCGCTGCCTGCACATGCTCCTGCCTGCTCCTCCTTGGTGCTGGTCTCCGAGTCGCTCTTCTCAACCTCTGACTCCGTTTTCCCACACTCATGGTCCAGGCTTCCCAGGGCATCCCGATTCTTTTCCTTCCTGTCTTCCTCTAGATTTGCCTGACTGTGAGAGAAGGGAACCAGGCAAGGAAAGGTGTCATGCCCTTGCCTGGGGTTCCTCATGCCAGTGCTGGGTAACAGGCACCCAGCTGAGGTGAGTCTGTGAGGGGCCCTTCTGTGGGTGAGGGTCTGGACCTGAGGTCCCCTCCTGGCACTGAAAGCCAGCCACACCCTGAATGACAGTATCCTGCTGGCAACGCTATTCACAGTTAACTGGGCTATCGAGAAGCAGGTCCCACCTGCTCTAAGGACCAAAATGTGCTGTACAGAGGTGACTACCATCAGTAAGTGCATGGCTACCTCTGCCTGAAGACCAGCTGCCCTGGAGACCGGGCTGGGTCTGTGCCAGTCACCCGCACCACCTGGGTGACCCTCCCTGCAGCCCTTTGTTGAATCTAGGGTGCAGGGAGGGGCCTCTCCAGCATCCGGTGGGGAGACATGGGTGGGGTAAAGGCAAGCGTTTCACTGTACCTCCAAGAGGACAGTGGGCCTCCTGGCTTAGCCCTGCCGCCCACACTCAGCTGGGCAGGGAGGGTGCTCCGGGCCTCCCCCAGGCCCCCTGCCCTCCAGCCACACTGGTGGCCGAGCACCCTGGTCTCCACAAGGCCACTCCTGGTCCATGGTGGTGAGTCGGATTTTGATATCCCAGAAACATTCTTGGAGATTCAGTGACTGAAGCCTCCCAGGTGGGTGGAGCGGAGGGCAGTGCTATGCTTGGTGGGAGGTCCGTCTGGGGCGGCCTCCCTCTGTGGAGCCACTGGGCCTGCTCCCACCCAAACAGATGAGACCTCTTTGGGTCCAGCACCTCCTTTCCAGGGTGGTTGTGGGGTTGTTGGCTCTGACACTTTGGCCAAGCCAGTTACCTGAGGCCAGGGCCAGCTGGAATGGGCCGCAAGGAGGGGACAGAGGGTCCTGTTTCTGTGGGGAGTCCCTCCCAATAAACGTGAATTCTTAAACGCCCTCCCCAGGCCCTCAGGTGGATCTTCTCAGGACACCGCTCCCTTGGGTCCCTCCCAAGCCTGACCTTGGTGGGGGTCTGTTCTTGCACACACACACACACACACACACACACACACACACACACACCTGCTTACCAGATGGTATCATCTGCATCCCTCCTTGGGTCTGGCCCCTGGTCTTCAGACTCTGAGAAGCAAGGACAGTGTTGGTCAGTGCCATTGGCACATGGGCCCTGGCTCCTGAGACCAGCCTGCCCCAGCCCAGGGCTTGCCACCTGCAGGCACGGTCCTGCTCTGAAGCTCCTCCTGGAGTGTGCTCAGGACCACCTGGCAGCAGGGGGCGTGGCCATCATGAGCTGCAGCACAGGCCTCTCCCAGCTCTGCCCTCTCTGTGGGACTCGGGCCCTCACAGTGAACGTCTGAGGCCCGAGGATTAGAAACCCCCGGTCCCAGCACAGTGACAGGACCAGGATGGGGGGGGCTCTGCTCCTGCTGGTCACCCCAGGCTCCCTTGGCAGGAAGACAGAGGAGGTGGGATGCCACCCGTTCTCTGGCCCCCCACCAGGTGCTCTTAGCATCCCCTCTCCTAGGCAGGGCCCAGGAGCACCCTGAATCTGCCTGAGGCGAGGGACCCTGTGAGCTTCCTGGTGACTCTGGAGAGGATGGGCCTCCTCAGCCGGCCAGCTTCCTGACTCAGGCCCCTGGCACCTGCACGTGGGTGTGCAAGCCCTTTAAGGAGAGGCAGGTTAGGGTCAGGGTTAGGTGCCTGGGCTCTCGGGTGCCGCCCCAGGCCTGGGTGCCGGGGGCCTCTCCTGTCCTGTGTGGCCCGGACTTGAGCCAGGTCTGAGTGCTGTGACTGTGCTCCCTGCTGCAGCTCCTTCTCCTGCAAACCACCAGGAGCTGACGCAGCCCAGGGAACTCATCATTTATGTATTTATTGTCTGGTCCCGGGGTTGAACGTTGTGATGCTCCACCAGTGAGCTCTGCCCCCAGCCCCTTTTAGTTTTTAATTTAGTCTGTTTCCCAAGCTGGCCTTGGACATGGGATGCTCCTGCCTGAGCCTTCTGGGTGACTGGGATAACGTGTCCGGGGAGTCCCAAAGCTTTCAACGATGGTTCTGATGGAAGAACAGCCAGGACGCTGGGGACTGGGGATTGCCCTGTCCTGGAGGGCTTCCTGCAGGGACTGGCCAGCGGCCAGCCCTGAGCCCAGCCCAGTGGGCCAGGGAAGACCTGCAGATGRAGGAGCCTTCTGGCCAGCCGTCCCTTGCTGGATGCCACGTCCACTCTGCCCGTCCTCCAGGGTCATGCTCCATGGAGACCAGGCATCCTGCCACCTGCTCCTGCTGGGGGGCTCACCCCTCCTACCCACGGCATCAGCCTGAGGCTGGGTCCTTTGTCATCTGTCTCAGGGCTGCTGCTTGAGGTCGCTGAGGACAAGACCTGGAGGCCATTCCTGCTGCTTCCTGACCAGCCTGTGAGTGGCCTGTCACAGTAGGTGAGGAAGGCCTGCCTGGGCGGAGGGGAGTGCCACTGCTCTTGAGCTTACTGTGGGACTTTGAAGTTCCCGGGAGCATCTGGCAAGGAGTGGGGGGGTTCACAGCTCCAGGCAGTCTGGAACAGGAAGCACCCTGTTCTTGGGGACGCACCCGGTGGGTGTCCTCAGGATCCATCCCTTCCTGAGCTGCTGGCCCAGGGGGCCCTGGGCCCTCCAGCAGGAGACCCTCCTACCCTCCTACCTGGCTCCCTGCGCAGCTTCCTGATGCGGCTTGGGGGGTCTCCCTTCTGGTGCAAGCCACCCATGCTCCGGCTCCTCTGGAGCTCGGCCCCCTCACTGGCTGCCTTGAGATGTCCAGGGGCCACTCCTGAGGGCAGGGCCCCAGGGCCTGGCCGGTGCCTCCTGTGTGTGGCCGGATCCTTCTCCATTCTGCCCGCGGGAGGAGGGAGCTGTGGCCTGCACAGCCTCACACTGAGGGCATTGCTGCCCCTCTCTCCCTATCGTCCCTGCTCCAGGGAGTCGCCAGAATGGGGGTGGTTGTCGTGGAGCTGCTGTGACATCACTGCAGGTCAGGGGTCAAGGGTCAGCAGGCCCAGCCCAGAGCAGCCTTCCCCGCCAGCTAGGGCTTGGAGCAGGGCTCGGCTGCCTGGGTTTCTCCTGCAGATGAGGGTAGGTGGTGGCCTGGGCCAGGAACGTGGGGCTGAGTCAGACTCAGGAAAATGAAGGGGAGGGCAAGGCCAGAGGCTTCCTGCCCCAGAGAGTGAGGTGGAGGTGCTCTGCTGAGAGGAGGGCTTGGAGAGCCCTCTCTGTGGCAGACTGGAACTGTGCTGATGTGAAAACCAGCCTGTACAGGACAACAGCCGTACCCGGAACGCACCTTCAGCTCTGCAGACTGTCCCTGGCAGGGTCGGGGCGGCGCCTCTGACCGAGGCCGCTCCTGTCAACTCACAGCTGCTGTGGTCTGTGTCTGCACKCGGCCATCCCTGTAGGTCTCTGTCCTGACTTCTTTTTTATTATTTTGTTGTAATTATTTACTTTTTGGTACTGGGGATTGAGCCCAGGGGCACTTAACTCTGAGCCATTCCCCCATCTCTTTTTCAAAAATATATATTTTATTTAGAGATGGGGTCTGGCTGAGTTGCTTAGGGGCTCACTAAGTTGCTGGGGCTGTTTTTGAACTTGTGATCCTCCTGCCTCAGCCTCTGGAGCTCTGGGATTGCAGACATGCACCACCATTCTGGGCCTGACTCTTCTTATAGGAACCCAGCAGCCGGATGAGGCTCATTCCAACACTCATAWTACCTCTGACCTCCGCCAAGGCCTGTTTCCACATAGAGCCTCACTCTGAGGTGCTGGGTGTGGGGTCTTCAACATGTGACTTGGGGGCACATTCAGCCCAGTGCAGCCCCACAGGAGATCCCTGCTCCTCTGCTCCAGCTGGCCACACAGAGCGGGCGGGGGGGGGGGGGGGGGGAGGGAGGGAAACCGCCCTGCACCTGGAGGGCTGGGTGGGTGAGGCTGTGGATCCCACCGAGGCAGGTCCTGGGGAGGAGTTTAGGCATTCAGCACACCTTGCCTGACACCAGGGGGCCCAGAGGTGGGGCTGTTCCCCGGGGTACAGAGAGAGAGCTTGGTGTCCCGGGGGCGCGGTGGGAAGACCAGGATCAGCTGGACCAGGTCTGTGTGGGAGCTGCTGTCCTCCAGAAACTGCTGCTGGGGCCTCATCTTCTCCTGGGAGGGGGAGGTCAGAGTACCTTCCTTGCTCTGCAGGTTTTTTAAAGTGCCCTGGGCTCAAAATAACTCTTCTGCCCAAGGAGCTTACTTTGAGGGGCTTGTTCTGCACCCTCAGGGGACCCACTGATGCACCAGCTTACCCAGGATGAGGCTCATGGGCACCTGGAGGAAGCAAGGGAGCCTCCACACACGGGTCCTCCTGGGGCAGCCTAGAGCCTCTTGTGTCCCAGAGGCCACAGGTCACTGGCCCAAGGCTAGTGAGCAAGAGGAATGAGCAGAATGACGGGTCTCCCAGGAGCCTCTGTACCCCTCCTGGGGAACACGGGGCCTTCAGGGCATCTCCTTCCTCCGGGGCCAGCCTCCTACCTCCGTGTTCCTTCTCATCCTGACTCTGATTTCATACACCCCAGTGTGACCTGGGTCCTCTGGTCCTGGTGCTGCCCAGAGCCCAGCCTGGGATGCTCACCAGGGCTGAAAAGAGGGCCACCCCCGACCTCCTGTGGATGGAGGAGGCTAACCAGGGACAATCCAGCCTCCGCCTTTTGGGCACAGTCCTGAGCCACTTGATGACTCCCAAGAAATGTCTGACTTGAGTCCCAGAGGCAGACCCAAGACCTTCTTCCTGATGGAGCCGACCGATGGAATTAGAAAGAGAGAGAGGGAAACCCAATGGAGAGAAGGAAGAAATAAAGAAATCAGAAGCAACTCAGCAAACTCTGTCTCTAAATAAAATACAAAATAGGGCTGGGGATGTGGCTCAGTGGTTGAGTGTCCCCGAATTCAATCCCCAGTAGCCCCCCAGCAAAAAAAAAAAAAAAGAAAAAGAAAAAGAAAAAAGGTAAAGAAAAACAAAATGGAGAAAAGAATAAAGAAATTAGAAACCACATCAGCCATCCCTGGCCCCAGCCACGGGGTCTTCGCCTGTACTGCCCTTTGACCCTCTCCTGGCCTCAGGAGGGGCAGCAGAAGAGCAGACGGCAGCTCCCCCGTCCTGGGGTGCCCACCCCTCCACCCCCAGGGCCATGGCTCAGCTCCATGCATCTTCAGACTGCGCAGCTGAGCTCCTGGTGCAGTCTGCCCTCCGCTCTCCTGGGGCAACACCTCTCCTGAAGGCACCGCGGGCCAAGTTCCCACCTAAAGCCCCACATGTCACCTGAATGTCACCTGCCAGAGGGATGCCACTTRTCATCAGACCCTCTCTTGTCACCTGCCACTCCCCACCTGGTGCCCTGACCCAACGAGCGCTGTGACCCGTGGGCTCCTGTGGAAAACAGGCCAGTCCTCAGAAAGAATAAAACCTCTGTTTTAATCGGCCAGTAAAATACATTGCAAATTATTAGTATTTTATAAACAGAAACATTGTTACAAATCCCTGTTAAAAATCGCAGCCTGAGAGCATGTGTCCAGAGGTTCTTTACACTTTCCTCCCCTACTTCTGTGACAAGAAATAATGTGACTATCTGTCCCTAGATGAAAAGCCTGGACCAGGAAGTCCACATGTGCCTCAGTGCTTCCCCAGGACCCCTGCCATAGGCCAGGGGTGCTGGAGAGCAAGGTCTGCAACAGCAGTGTGCCTCAAGCTGGAGAGGCCTGCCCTCCTGCCCCGACCCTCCTGTCCCCAGACAGCAGCTCTGGCCGTGGCCATGCCCTTCACCTCCTGGGGCTCCGGGGACGGGCCCGCAGCAGTCCCTGGGAGACCTTCCGGCAGCTGGAGACACAGTTCCTGGCTATCTGCCTCTCAGAGCCCTCTTGAGCAGGTAAAGGTTCCAATGTTCTAAGTTACCTTACATCAAAGAGCTAATTAAAAACACTCCTTTAAAAACATYAAGAAAGACGGCTTGAAAAATGCACTTTTCAAAAATCTTCCCCCAACCTCCCCATGGGGTGGCAGGCAAGTGGACTACGGTTCCCCACACCCACCCGTAGTAGGACAGGCTGTGCTGGGGCTGGGGACTGACCCACAGTAGGACAGCTGTGCTGGGGCTGGGGCTGGCCAGTCAGCCAGAGGAGACTGAATCTTGCCTTTCCCTGCCTGGACTCTGCAGAAGGGACCAGGCCCCCAAAGCCCAGGACCCTCAGGGATTCCAGCCACAAAACGGGCCCTTCAGCCAGGAGCAGACAGGGAGGCCTCTGTGACAGCCATGGGGGCAGGAGGCTTGTGGGATGGAGTGACACTGTTCACGCCTGGAGGGGTGCAGCAGAAGAGCCAGGGACAGGCCAGAGGAGGAACTGGATGACTCCTGGGCTTCCAGAGGAGGGACTGGATGCTTCCTGACCCTTCGTCTGAGCCCTGCACCTCCACAGAACACAGGGAATGAGAAGACCATGACACCACACTCCAGAGGCCAGTCAGACCGCTCGGCACTGGCAGGTGAGGAAAGCAGGAGTTAGAGTTCTGGGTGGAGATGTGTGGTGCCCTGGCAGCCAGGACTGGTCCTGTGGGAGCTGCTGGGCTGTGGAGGCTCTGCTTCCCTCGCTGCTCAGGGTGGTGGGTGGCCTTGTGTAGCAGGTTGGTGCCACCCTAGAACACTGCACATACTTCAAATGGAATGGGTGGAGATCTCGGACTGTTGTCGGATGTAGTTCTGGAAACTCTTGTCTCCAATGGGGTGCTCCCTGGAAGACGGGGAAAGGATAAAGTTACAGGCAGAGCAGAGGCTCCCTCCCTCCTCGGGGTGCTCCCTGGAAGATGAGGGTGAAGAGGCTCTGCACTCTGTGTGTCCCTGGAAGAAGTGGGGATAGAATGCTTCATGAACAGGAGGTCCCCACTCTGGGTGCTCCCTGGAAGGGGAGAGGTGCTGTGTGTATGCCATATGYAGTGTGCACACACGTGCGCAGAATCCACACGCCAGGTGGTACACGCAGCATGCACACATGTTGGCGTGCAGTGTACCCCTGCTGCAGATCACATGTTGTGATGCGTGAGGTTCACGTGTGTAGGCTGGACTTGTGTGCACACAGAGTGTGGTACACTCTGGAGTGTGTGTGGTGAGCGTGGGAAGGCGGGCTCTGTCCACCTGTGGCTAAAGAATGCCCGGTGCTGGGTAGTGGGTGTCTGGGGTGGGTGGCTGCCTGCTCTGGGTGCAACACCTCCCCTAGAACAGGCTTCTGCTTCCTGGGCTGTGGTCAGCCCCCTGGCTTTGGGCTCCCTGCCAGGTGTGTCCAAGACCTGCCTCAAGGCCGGAGGCCCCAGAGGTGCTCGGGCTCCATCCAGCAGGACGTGGGGCGTGGTCACTCTCCCTGAGCCTCACTTGATCCTTCCCAGAACCCCGGCCTCTTCCCTGCAGGCTCACCCACCCGTTCTAGGCTGTGTGGTGGCTCTGTCATGGCGTCCCTTGGCACCTGCTGGATGGGCACAGTCAAGACGCCCACTCCCCCTGGCTCTGGGCTCTTCTAGCCCTCACCTCATCTCACTCCATCTCCCATGACCTCTGCTCCTGTGCAGAAGTGGGGGTGGAGGCCAGGCTACCTGCCAGCTATCGCTGGTGAAGGGTCGGTGCGGTCCACCCGACTCAGTCCTGAGCCTCCGCCTGCCCTACCCCCCTCCCTCCTGGGACAAGAATGTGGCCACTCCAGAGCCAGCCTGTGCCAGTGACCTGGGAGATGGCAGAGGGCGTGTGATGCAGAGGCAGATGGGGCCAGACCCTGGCCGAGACAGGCTGGGGAGGCCCGGCCTCCTCCCCAGGTGGGCCCC